ATTTATCTTTTAGTATAACCAAGGAAACCTGTAACTAAAGCTACCTGTCTTCAACTCCATCAAAGACCCTAGAAGGATGTAATATTACCTAAGTAAACAGAATGTGCAATGTAAGCAACTTCAGAAGCTCTAGAATTGACAGAGACATCTTGCTGCCTGGACAGTTACCCAAAGTTCTTTTGTATCATTGCAGCATTTATCTGCAGCTTACAGGCCTATAGTATCTGGCATTTTTTCCATGAAGCAGGAAATTTGAAGATCTGTTCTGCCTTGTACTGGCAAAGTTCAACAGTTGCTTTCTTCTGTGTCCTGCAGAATGTCTGACTATTTATTTCATGAAGCAGGAACCCTGAAGGGCTGTCTCACCTTCTTTAGGAAAGTACAGCAGTTACTTTTCTGTGGGTCCTGCATGTCCAGTTCATACAGCATACCATTAAGCAGTCAAGACAAAAGCAGTTTCTTGCCCAAATGGCTAGCCTTGTTCTACTGAAGGCAAACTCCATAACAAGTTTCTTCAATGCCCACTAACCACTCTGAAGTAATTGGTGCTGCCAGAAGCAGACATGTCTCACTGTTGAAAAAAGTCTAAGTTTTTAAGACATTTTAAATGCCACATTCTGTAGGTCATTGAAGTCTTTGAAGGTTACCTATCTAACTAAAACATCTCTTTTTTATCTAGAAAACTTAACTTCATAGCTACAAGTTAGACTATTATAGATGACTATTAATCTATATTTCTTAATTATACATTACATTTTTAAATGAGCTGTATAAACATAATACCTTAAATAAGAGTAGAAATATACATATAACAAAACTGACCTTAAATTTGTATAAATAAACCGAAGTCCATTCCAAAGTAAAGTATTCATTTCTATATTATATCCCCCTTATTTTTTTTAGAAAGTGACTCTGACCATTGGTTACTTATACTCAATCCCTTTAAAGTGAAAACAAACATTTATAAACAACCATTTTGGGAATTTTGGCATAGTTTTCTCCAAACTGCTTGCTGATGTTTGTTGAGTAAAATCTTTTTAGGGTTCACAGAGACATTTTGGGGGGAGCTCTTATTCCATCAAACCATATTAGCCTGGGAAAAGTCCACAGGTTCTCATATTCTGTGGAAACAAATGTGTAACCTCTTTTCCAAAATAATATCCTCAGACTCAAATTTTGAAGTCCAGATACCTTTAAAATATATATGTTTGTGTAGTTTAGCAGCCGTCCAATGAAATGTCTCAATGTAGTTAACTCATTCACAGTCAAAAATTCAAAGAAAACACAATAATATACATAATCCAGATTCTCTGTGTGTATGTTCCATCTTTATGTGGCTTATATTTTTTACTCTATTACTTTTTAATATTTATTTTATTATCTTTACTGCTTTAATCTATGACTGTCTATACTCTTTCATATTACTTTTACTGTCTTTTTAAAGACTTTGCTTTATTTTTTAAAGCTACCTTTCTATAACTCTCTATTCTCATTTCCTTTTTTTCTTAAGCTTACATACATTTTTTTAAACTACAATATGACCCATTCAGAGGTTTATTTTTGTCTAAATCTGTCTTTATTGTGTACCTGTAATCCTTTTTTGATCGCTATTATAAACTGTTTAGCAGGCAGGGCTAGGACCAGAGCAGCCACTTTGACTGTTGATTCCACCTTGCTTGGCTTTCCAACGTGGCAGAAGTCTGTTTATTGACATCTCTGGGAGCCATGTTTACCACCCCAACTCTGGGAAGCAGTTGGCCCATGTCACCACCAAGTAACATGCAGCATGCTACTCACAAACCCCATTCAAGTGCTCTGTAACAGGTCCTCCAGAAAGAGCCAGAAACATTTGTGCTACTAGCATGAACCAGGAGGTTGTTGTCTTTTTTTAAGGAACCACATAATTTTCACTGCTAATGCCAAATCAGGGAGCCTTCTCTTAAAGGAGCTGCACCTCTGCTCACTGCTAGCAAACACAGCCTATATAAAAAATGTGGCTACAAGAAAGCTGCATTGGCTCCCATTTTTTGTGGGTCTAGAAGCCCTCTTTTTTTAGAGTTCTTTTAGGTCCTATGTGGATGCATGCCTGATGATGGGTGTCATTTTTGTAAAAGGAGACTGTGCTTATGTTTCCTGGCCACCCAGGCCCAAATAATCACACAAAACTATATTAATTACAACACTGTCTGACCAATGACTCAAGCATATTCTTAGCTAGCTCTTGTGTCTTAAATTAACCCATTTCTATTAACCTGTATATCACTACAAGGCTGTGACATTGCCGCATTTTCTATATGTCTTATTTCCTCAGTGGTTGGCTAGCATTTTTCTCCTTTAGTACTTCTGCCCAACTCTGCCTTCTTTCTCCCTGCATTTAGTTTAGTTTTCTCACCTAGCTGTATTCTGCCATGTTATAGGCCAAAGTCTCTTCTTTATTAACCTATGATAATAAAATACATTCATAGTATACAGATGGGAATCCCACATCAGACCTTGACAACTTTAATACAAAATATGATCTCTAAATCTCATCCTTTATGTACCTTAAATGATTACTCAGATCTGCATAACTTGCTAGAACATTCCAGTCTCTTCACTCTGGAGTCATCCAATCATTACCATCTTTATATATCTAAGTTCTTTTCTAAGTCCACTTCCATATTTACATTCCTCTATCATGTTCTTTCATATACTAGATTCTGTTTCTAATACTATGAGACTTAGGAATCTTATCGAATATATTTATGGTCTGTTGGGAGAATTTTCTCCCTGGTGGTAGAGGACAAAGCAATGTCTTTCCCATCCCCATAAGTGCCAATGACAATGCAAAGCACAATTTTACCAAAGTCTACCCTGGGGAGCCAACGAGTTTATTGAACTTACTTATTGAACATGGTTGAGGAGATACAGAAGTTTGGATGCTTTGCTGGTTCAAATCAAAATGGCCCCAAACTCCCATAGTGAGTGATACTATTAGGAAGTGTACCCTTGTTGGAGTAGGTGTGCCCTTGTTGGAGTAGATGTGCCCTTGTTGCAGGAAGTGTGTCGCAGTCACTTCCTGCTGCCTGCTGATCTGTATGTAGAACTCTCAACTCTTTTTCCAGCACATCTGCCTGCACAGCACCATGCTTCCCACCATGATGATAATGGACCAAACCCTCTGAAACTGTAGGCCAGCCCCAATGAAATGTTTTCCTTTATAAGAGTCACCATAATTGAGGTGTCTTTTCACAGCAACTGAAACTCTAACTAATATAGATACCTGAAAGCAGCCAGAAAGGGATGTCTCAACCACTAGGGATGTCTCCACTAATGCATAAGGGCTTTCATACATCTGCATAGTGGAACTCAGCTTCTCCCTATTCTTCCACTGCCAATGTACTCTAGCATTACATTACATTTCTCAGTGTACAAAAGAGGTAAGCACAAAGGCACTCAAGGTAAATTCCCTCTTTTAAAGATGGTTTTCTTATATGTGCATATGCGCAACCCACGTCCTCCCAAGTCTTTCCCAGACTATGAACTCTAGCTTCTCCATTAAATGACAGGGTCACATGTCATTAGAGCTGAGTTGCTCACAGTTGTCTGGGAAAAAGGTTGTGCACTCAGAAGGAGAGGATACCCCCATCTATGATGGAATATCAACAGTCAGCAAATCTAGTGGTGATTGTCCTTTGTAAGCAGGCACAGCTGTTCATATGAAGGTGCCAGTTGTTTGTCTTACGATAGTACTGAGCAACAACAACTAAGTAAAAGAAAGCTAAATAGAAACTGTATACAATAAGATATTATAATATATATTTCTTAGGACTTAAAGAAAACACAAGACAGTCTTCACATACTACATGGCATCACTACTATTACCATGCTTTTTTCATGGGTGCTTGTAGACAATATAAAGAAACAGCAAATGCATAATAAAACATCATTGAGTGGATGTGTAGAGCATCTAGTACAATACAACTAAGAAATTGCTCTTAAAACTACGATTTTCCAGTTTCCTATAGAGAGCTCTTTACACAGAGGGTCTCTCTATACTCTCTGTGGATGAACACCCCATTAGCTGTTTTAACTTAAAAGGTAAATAAACATTTACATCCTAGCACACTAATCTCTAACAAGCCTTGTTAGCATACTATTCATTAAGAGGGTGTTTTAGAGGCACCACCCCTTAGCTAAATTCTCCTTTGTGTGGCTTACTAACCCCCAAGCATTGGTAAATCCTTCCTATCCACAGGTCTACTCTTCTACATTAAAGCTTACTATGGAGTGTTACCCAGTTCATAAGATGACATTTACAACCTCCACCAAATTAGCTGTGAATGAATCTTACTCTTAAATGTCAAATGCAAAGTGCAAAACTTTTGGAAGATACTTGATAAATTAGACCTAACTGAGTTTGGCAACCTGCCTGGGCCTTAGGAGTTTTCTCTAAGGCCCTGATATATAGAGCAAGAACAGATCTTCTCCAAAACCTAGAATTTGTTGGGAGAGCTGTTCATGGTATGGAACCAGGCCTTTGGGAAAGGGCTGCTTCAGATCCTGATTATGCAACCCTTTTCATACATGGGGCTGTGTTTTTTGGTTACAAAGACACTGTGTACTTTGTTTATAATGTTCTTGAGATACCCTGTGTTCCTTCTATGTAATAAATTTCTGAATTTGTCCACTTCCTTTTAAAACTGAATTGATTGGTTTATATTAACCTGAAACTTGCTGTTGTAAATGGCTGAAATCTGCATCCAATCTGGGATAGGTTTGGGCTAAGTGTGAGAGCCAGGATCAGGAACCCTTGTGCTGGGTCCCTTCAATTCTCCAGCCCCCCCCCCCCCCCCCCCCCCCCCCCCCCCCCCCCCCCCGGACAAGTATTCTTGTCACTCAGGCCTCATTAGCCAATCATGGTCTCCAACAGATCTGTCAGTCATATGGGAAGGTTCTTCCGGGCACCGGGCTTCTGGCTCAGAGCCACTGCTGAAGAAAGCGGAAGTTGTCCGGTGTGCTGAGGAAGGCGGAAGTTGTCTTGGGTGCTGTGCTGGGGTCTCCGCCGGGGGAAAGCCGTGGGCAGGCAGAGTTCCGGCAAGTCCGGCGGCGCACCATGGTGAGTGAGGGGCTGCCGTCCCCAAACAGGCAGGGGCGGTCAGCCATGGTGAGCGACCTGAGCGGCCTCCGGAGCCATGGGAGCCGCTGTGGTGGGTCCTACCACGGCTCGGTCGGGGCCAGCGGCCAGCTGCAGAGTTAAACGTGGTCCCGCCTGGTCCTGCCCGGTCCTGCGTGTCCTCCGTGGTCCTTGTAACTCCTTGGGCTGGGCCTCTGAATAACTTCACTCCGCGGGCTGAGTTTGCGCGCGTTATTGGGAGCGGGACTGTGCTTAGAAACATCCTTGACGTCACTGTGAAATGCCGGCTCCTGTCGTGCGTGTATTGTCTCTGTGGAAGGCAGATTTGCCAAACTCGGAGAGCTCTGATCTCTCTAGTATCTTCCAGAAGTTCTGCACTTTTAACATTGAACATTTAGGTGCACAAAATTATTCCTTATTCCTTCTGGAATAATTTTGTGGAACTTGTAAAGTGTCTCCTGTGTAGAGCAGCACTCCACTGCTAAACTGGGATGTGGAAGAGTGGAGTTGATGGTCATTGTTGTGTGTGGGCATCAGTGGAGTGGGGTTTGCCTGAAACCACAAAGGCAGAAGAGGGAAGTGCTGCAGAGCCATAGCCCACCTTTATGATGCCCTCCACTTCCAGAGAGTGCTCCAGAGCATGGGGCTGTTTGGAAGAGATCAGTACTTGGAAGGTCAGAAATGTAACAGTTTCGGGGTCACTTTGAATCATCTTTGTGAGTTTTGTTGAAGTCTTTGCTTATTTGCTTTCTATACAGCTCAACCGTAGGCAGCGTTGGTCAGGTTCACTGTCTTCCTAGCTGTCTTTCCTGAGGTCTTTTGAAGAAAACTTGACTGTCTTTTTGTGCTTTTGTTCTTGGCTTTTCCCCTCCATTCATATTCTTCACACATTTTTGTTTGGTGTAAATTTGTGGTAAGCACAGAAGTCACATTGTATTAGTGTATTTACTATTTCTTCATAGTTCCATTGAAAATTCTCAAGTTTTCCACATGGAGTGTGGCTTTCAGGTTTCCTGTTAAAAATCTTTGGGAATTTTCTTTGGATTACTAAACTTATACTTCCAATTGAACATACCCAATGTCCTTTTTAAAAAGTCGTGTGGATGGTAATGTTTACAGGGATGTAAAGGGATAAAGGATACTATTGTGCAAACTGCAGTGAGGGCGGATCTGACACTGGTGGGAGATAATGTACGAAGCCAGAAAAGAGGACTGCAGAATAGGTCAGTGCACAGATTCATAATGATAATCACATAAACGATATCCCACTAAGTTTGATTCATTTGAGAAAACTAAGAGTGAAAATCAAACATGCTCCAGAATTGAACAGTGGATCTGAGTGTTTCATGGGACTGTGCAGTAGCATGCGAAATAAACTCTGATAGCTGTAGGTTGGGATTTCCCACAGATAGCAGTTAAAATCTGTAGCACGATTAATAAGAACCCAGAGACAGAAATTGGGGTTCAACCTGAAGGTCAGAAAAGCAAAACAGTCAGCCCCTGGCTCTTACTTCTATCTCAGTCCGAAATAGTGATCCTGCCTCCAGGAATCTCAGAATGAGACTGACTGAGAGCTCTCTCCTCCTGTCTTATATTCCTCTCTCTGGGGCTGGGAATAAAGGAGTGCACCAGTACCACCCAGTTTCTATGTTAAATTAGTGTGGCTACTGGGATTAAAGATGTGTGGTGCCATTGCCTGGTCCGTAAGACTGATCAGTGCGGCTGTTTTACTCTCTGAACTTCAGGCAAACTTTATTTATTAAAATACAAATGAAATGTCACTACAAAAATCAGTTAAAGCCATATTATGCTGTTATAGTTGATATAAAATTACACTTATTTATGTATTCTGATGCATTTGGCCATATTACCTACACCCAAGCCACCTCATCACAAACATCAGAGTAAACTGTGTTCCCCAGACATTCTTTTTCTGTATGTGTGTTTACAGGATACAGAGCTCTCATAAAATGAGAGAATTACTCCGGACCCAGCAGTCTTCTCAGTGTATCTTATCAAGGACTTACTCTGACAGCACTTATTACAGCTTAGGCAGTGTCAGCTCATTTCTTTTTCCCATCCTATTTTACTCTTCAGTGTACTGTCATAGATGGATGTGAGAGCCCCAGCCATCTTGTCTGCACTACAGGTAGCAGTAGAAAATGAAGGGCAGAAAGAACAGAGAATCTAGCTGAGGCAATAATCACTTTCATAGGGTTTTTCTGACAGGTCCTTTATACAAGTCTTTCACTTGCTTTTTTAGAGTTACCCCAAAATACTTGATAATATTTGAAGCTATTTTGAAGGGTGCTGTTTCTCTGATTTGTTTTTCAGCCTATTTATCATTTATATATAAGGGTTTCTGGTTTGTTTGTTTTTTTCTGTTGAGTTAATCTTGTATTCAGTCACTTTGCTGTGTTTATTGACTGTAGAGTTTAGCAGTTGAATTTGTATGGTCATGTGTGTATATATATGTATATGTGTATAAATGTATAGATGCATACACACATATGCTATATGTATATGCATATATATGCTATCATATCATCTGCAAATAATAATTCTTTGACTTCTTCCTTTTCAAATTATATCCCCTTGATCTTCTTCAGTTGTCTTTTTGCTCTAGTGAGAACTTCAAGTACTATATTGAAGAGATATGGAGAGAGTGGACCGCCTTGCCTGTTCCTGATTTTAGTGAAATTGGTTTGAGGTTCTCTCCATTTAATTTGATGTTGGCTGTAGGCTTGCTGTAAATTTCCTTTCTTATATTTATGTATGTCCCTTGTATGCCTAATCTCTCCAAGACTTTTGTCATGAATGAGTGTTGTGTTTTGTCAAAGGCTCTTTCAGTGTCTAATGTGATGATCCTGTGCTTTTTTTCCTTTCAATTTATTTATATGGTGGATTACATTTACTGATTTTCATATGTTGAGCCATCTCTAATCCTATTGTTCTATTCCTGTTCTGGGGCAACCAAAAATCAGGTCTGGGTTAACAGTGTGGTAAATCTCCAACAACCTACCTGATCTTCTGCATGCATGAGATGTGACTGAGCAATGGGTGTCTGGGATACAGAGATGAGGCAAGTGGGGGTGGTCTGAGGGATTCACAGGTGGTGTGAACAGGGTGAGAGGAAGGTACCCTTGGTTTTCTGTTCCAGTTCTATGGGCAACTTTGAGAATTGCGTCTGCGGTAGCAGATAGTGGGATAGGTCTTTGTGCAGCCTACCTAGTCTTCCAGCAGGCATGGCCTCTGGTTGAGCAGGGTTGTCAGCCCAAGATGGGGTCTGGGACACAGAGAGGGGGCAGGAAGGGAGGGCAATCTTTAAATTTCTTTCTTTTATTAGAAAATGTTATGAAATAGCGCAGAATGAACCTTGGTGGGTAGTTCAGGTTCAAGGAGCCCCACAGTAGGTGAGAGCCATGGAGACAGAGCTTATTTTGGAAGTTTTATTGGGGGAAGGGAAGAGAGTAGGGAAGGGAGAGAGAGAGAGAGAGAGAGAGAGAGAGAGAGAGAGAGAGAAGAGAGAAAGGGAGCACACAGAGCAGCCCCATATGGGAAAAAGAGAGAGAGAGGTGCAGAGAGCTAGAGAGAAAGAGATGCAAAGAGGCAGAAAGCCATGGAAAGAGATGAATGAGAGAGAAGAAGAGAAAGAGTAGGAGGAAGTGGGGGAGTTCCTCCTTTTAAAGTGATGGGGTGCAGTTATGTGCACAGAGATCACACTAGGTCAGGGTACTGCCTGCCATGCGTACAGGGTGACTCACTCTGCCAGGTCCCCAAGGGGCAGGGGTAGGTGTGCCTGATGCTAATATTCCTCCCTTTTGTTTATTTTTTTTTTTAAAAAAGGAGAGGAGTTAGGCGTAGCAGGTTAGGGGAATGAGGGTGCAGAGTTCTCGAGACCGCTTCCTTCTGATTTGTGGGTGTTGAAATCTTGGGGGATGTGAGAAAGCAGGGAAGCGTGCCACGCCCTGGAGTGTCTGGTTGCCTGACTGCTGTCCAGGCTCCATGGAACTGTCGTATGCCTCTTGGACCTGGCAGGGCGCTGGCAGAGCAGATGACAAGGTTAATTTTAGGGAAGAAAATTTCCTTAGGTCCTGGTTATTCAGGGAGGGGGATTGCAAGACCAGGGAAAACTGGAATGTTACTCATCTGGAGTGAATCTGCCTTGTTTAGGTGGATCCAAGTCGACTCCTCAGAGCTTACAAGAATACTTTGAGTTTATGAAAACATAAGTTTTAGACCTATTAGCATTCCCACTGTTTATAATTGGTACTGATATTTACATTGTAGAAAAGGGTGGTGTACTCACATAGTGGTAGTACTCAGCCAGGTTAATGGCTTATCAGGATTTTGGCAATTAATGTTAAGACTGGGAACTTTTGGAGTCTTAGTATAACAGTGGCATAATGAGAGAGAGAAATCTGGACATGTTGCATTCTTTTTAATGTCTTGAATTGTTTTATCAGCACTTAAGCCTTTTCATCCTCAGACCTTTATAATTTGTATGTACACAGCTTATTAACTCGCATTTCCATACCTTATTAACTCACATTTGCACACCTTAAAACACCTTCTTAGACCCTAAAACATTCTTAGATCCTCATATCTTAGGCTTTACTATCTTTCCATAAGTGAATCTTAAAGAACCTGTTCCTTCCCCATCATGATGGCGTTACCTTAACACTCAGGTTGGTTGCTGAGGGCAGTCACTGCAAAGTTCCTTTAGACAAAGGTATGGTAAGAAGTTATCTGACACTTGTTTTGTGAGTTTATCTCTTTTCTGAGTCTGGTAATGATGTGGATTGTGTCTGGACTTAGTTAGCTCTAGGAGAGTGAGGCCTGTGACCTGAATTTCACACCGAGAACTTCGAAGGCAGCTGAAACCTTGCTTGCTGCTGTTAAGCTGGCAGAGCTACTAGTCATCAAATAGCATCAGAGTTCTGAGGAGGATAAACTTTACCCAGAGACTTACTTGCTTGACAGCCACCTCAGGTCCTCCATGGTTGTTGAGGGCAGCGGTCTCACAGCAGCGTTCTTCAGCTGGCGAGGCAGGCTTGTAAGGCCCTAGATGGTCACATAGGCTTCTCCTCATGGGAGGACCTGCCTCTTGAGGCAGTTGAGTTTTCAGTGTCCTGATGCCCACAGTCTTAGAAGCAGTTGAGGTGAAAGGCAGTTTTCCCCCCAGTGGCTAAGCGTGCTGCCACTTATGAAGCAAGTTATGGGTGGGGGTTCTTCTGTACCCATTTGTCTTCTTTGGAGGAAATAGGGGTGCTTGCAGGAGTAGTCCTGACTCTCCATTACAAAAAACCTTTTTAATTAAACATTTTAATATATTTTAAATGCCATATTCTACAGATCTCTGAGCATTTGAGGACTGACTTTCTATTGGGTATATCTGAGTAAACAAACTTTGTCTTTAGTTACTTGTTTTAAGCGTAGTTCTGAAAACATATAGGGGACTAGTTAGGGCTTATCCCTGTAGTTAATTATATCAGTACTTAGCATGACTACAATTAAAGACCTTGATCATTTATTCCTTATCAATCTCAATGATTTTATAACCTTAAATTTTTATCAATGTATAGATTATTTTTTAGGCCAGATATATAGTATGTTGTAACTGATCTAATCATATATTTTATCATCATACAAAAGTACATACCAATCTCAAATATTTGAGACTCGTTGCTTTCTTAGTTTAGAAGGAGATACAAGGAACAGAGAGCTCATTAGGACTAAGAAGTTTACTCTTTAACTTTAGTAAACGATGTTTTTCTAAACAGTAGTTATTGGCACACATAAGAGCAGTTGAATTTAAATTACATACATAAACACAGTGTTGGAGCTAGCTTACATTTTCACATAAAAGTTAAATCCAAGTCACATGTGTGTGCGTGTGTGCGCACATCCACAGACCCTCCCCCTACACACACACATCTTTTTGTCCTTACTAAAAATGGCGGTTGTCCACATGGTCAGCCTTAGTAGAGATGGCTGTTAGGTCATCTGATCGTATACCGAAACCTTTTATCTGAAACTCTACAAAGGAGACAAATGTCAAAGCAATTCTCAGTCACAGAAACTTTCAGTTTTCTAACTTCTACAACCAAGTTTTGCATAGACTTTGAACAATTGATGGACTTTCTTTGGACCACCAGTGTTGTGGGAGCTGCGGGTTGCATTCTGCCACTCAGCTCCCGCCACTAGCTAGCTTTACCCGAAATAACAATACACAAACTGTATTCTTTTAAACACTGCTTGGCCCATTATATCTAGCCTCTTCTTGGCTAACTCTCGCACCTGGACTAGCCCATTTCTAATAAAGTGTGTAGCACCCCAAGGTGCGCTTACGGGGAAGATTCTAGCCTACGTCCATCCTGGGTCGGAGGTTCATCGCATGTGCCCCCAAGAGCTGAGCTATGGCGTCTGTCTGAGGTGTCTACCTCACTTCCTCTTCCTCCCAGCATTCTGTTCTGTTTACTCCTCCCACCTATGTTTTAACCTATGAGGCCAAGCAGTTTCTTTATTACTTAACCAATGACCTTCCTCCATCACACCAGCTCCAAAACAATGACATAGGGACTTCTTATTAATTATGAAAGCTTGGCCTTAACTTAGACTTGTTCTTAATTTGCTCTTGAAACTCAGATTAATCCATTCATTTCTATTAATCTATGTTCTGCCATGTGGCTTGTTACCTCGCCTCCATACTATAATCTCTGCCTCTCTGATTCTGTCCTAGAGTTCCTATCTCTGCCCAGAAGTCCCACCTATCCTCTTCAGCTCTTTATTAAAGAAATCAGAAGTTGCCTTGGCAGAGACATACCTTCACAGTGTACAAAAAGATTATCCCATAACCTTGAACCATTTAGGAAGAACTCAGGTAAGATATACATACTTCAAACAAAAGGTAGCTCACACAAAAGGAGACAGTCACAAAAGGAGATCAAAGCCCAAGGGCTAACACTCCAGAATCTAGCCAGCTGCCATGATCTGCAAGAACTCTGTTTACGCCCACCCATATGCAAGCTCTTTGTTACTGAGACATCTCTCCTTGTTGTTTACTTATGAACAACATTTACATTGCTAGCGTTTTATCTGTCCATTTTAACTGTTTAATCATGTATTCCCTTTTAATAACTTTTTATTAATGCTACAGTTTAAACTGGGGCACTTCAGGTTTCTAGAAAATGAATACAGAGCTGTATAAATCTTTTAGGAACTTCAGTAAAAAATCTCTGAGTTCTTTCTTTTTGTTTGATTGATTTTTGCAGGGTGATAGAGTCTTAATATATACCTTTGGCTATCTTGGGACTCTTTGCTTAGACCATACTGGCATCCAACTCAATGAGATACACCTTCTTCTACTTCCTGAGTGTTGGGATTAAAGGCATGAGACATTACACCCAATTTTTTCATCTTTTTTTTTCTAGTTAGTAATTGGTCATACAATGTGTCTGGTGTGTACTCAGTACTGTTGATCTGTTTGCTTGTCTCTCTCTTACTAAGTCTGGTGTAATTAGTGCATTTCTTGTGCAAGGTTATATCCCATTCAAAGGGTGCAGAAATGACAGGGGTGGACCTCCTAAGGTTCCTTCTAAAGTGACTTGGTGATTACAGTTAAAATTCTGTGTAATGGAATAAAGTGTGGGAAGCACCAGAATTATATGACTATATTGTAAAAGAGTACACATTTGCAATTCTGTTTGTATCACACTTTCTTTTGTACACATGTATGGGATATTTTAGAATGCAGTGACCTATGATGATGTGCATGTTGACTTCACCCGGGAAGAGTGGGCTTTGCTGGATCCCTCCCAGAAGAATCTCTACAAGGATGTGATGCTGGAGACTTACAGGAATCTCACTGCTATAGGTATGAATTTTGCTTCACTTTTTAAAATAAGGGGGCAACTGCTTCTTGGATATTGATGCTCTTCTGAAATTTTGATTGAGAAAGAGGAAGAATGAGGTGAATAAATCAGATAGAGTTCTAAAGTTCAATGAAGATAATTACTTAAATTTTTCATAATTTCCAATAATAGACATTTTCTGATACTATATTTTAGGCTACAATTCGGGAGACCATAATATTGAAGAACCTTGTCAAACTTCTAGAAGAAATGGAAGGTAATTTTCATGTGCAAGTGGATACAAATGTAACTCTTTAAGAAATTTTAATGTGAACTGGAAGTTTTAAGGCAAAGCACCTGTGTAAATAAGCACTTGAGTGTAGTGATGATTATTAAATTATCACAAAACCATGTGCCTCAATGTCAGGAAACTAATTTGTGTTTACAAGTCGTTCTTATATGAAGAAGACAAGGAAACAATGCCTTAACAGAGATCACCTTTTGATTCATGGCCCCATGTAAAGTCCCAATCCATTTAATTTCATACCACTTCAGTATTCCAAAAGGTATACACAATGAATAGGTAATAAATATATGTCCAAAATCTTCTAATAAGCAAATAGTACACGGAAAAGGTGGTGTTACCCATATACACAAGTGTATGGGAGTTGTTGGGACTTTGCTGAGTTCAGTAAGAGAGGCAGTTTATGAGCTTCAAGACGATTATTGTGGAGCACCTTAACTTCTGTACCACAGGCCTTTGAGGAACCAAAAGACAAACGATGTAAATGCAGTGTGGAACCCTTTCATTAGTTATTCTTTCATTACTTGATATTTCATATGTCACTCTGCATACAAGCCATGTGAGCATGGAGAGAAACAATATCCCCTCTATACAGTAGTCCTCGCTTGGAGTAGACTTGTTGAATGAAATACAAGTTTATAATTCATTGGTTTTTCCAGCTTTGTTGAGACTATATCAGCAAACTAACACTATAAGATAGCCTATGAGTATTAGAAATGTGGAAATCTTCTGTGTGTCCTAGTTCACTATGCAAATGTGGTATGATTCACACTATTGGAAAACTTACTGATGCAAGCAGTGTGACAAACTTCCAACTTTTTCCAGTTCTCTTCAACTGTCTGGAAACTCATAAACGATGTATAAATGTGAGCCATGTAATAAAGGCTCTTACCATCACAGGTATCTTCAAAGATGCAAAATAACCTTTAGTGAAGGGGAATACTGTGAGTGTAAACAAAGTGATAAAACCCTAAGATCTGATTCGGCTTTACAATAAGACCAAATTCTAAAATTATTTCATTCAGGTAAAAAGATTCATGAGTGTAATGTGTTCAGTAAAGCTTTTACATATACCAATTATTTTTGCAGACATGAAGGAAATCATACCGGAGTGAAATCCTATGAATATACTCAAAGTGATAAAGCCGTTGCATATGACAGTCATCTTCAAAGACATGAAAGAATTCCTACTGGAGAAAAACGCAATCAATGTAGTCAGTGTGGTAAAGCCTTTGCACATCACAGTTATCTCCGAATACATAAAAGAACACACACTGGAGAGAAACCCTGTGAATGCAAGCAATGTGGTAAAACCTTTGCACATCTCAGTAGTCTCCGAAGACATAAAATAACACATACTGGAGAGAAACCCTACAGATGTAATCAATGTGATAAGGCCTTTTCACAACCCACTAGTCTCCAAATACATATAAGAACGCATACTGGAGAGAAGCCCTATGTATGTTATCAATGTGGTAAAGCCTTTTCACAACACAATAGTCTCCGAGTACATAAAAGAACGCATACAGGAGAGAAACCCTACAAATGTAATGAATGTGGTGAAGGCTTTGCACGTCACAGTCATCTTCAAAAGCATGAAAGAATGCATACTGGAGAGAAACCCTATGAATGTCTTCAACATGATGAAGCCTGTGCACATTTCTATACTCTTCAGCATCATGAAAGAATTCATACTGGAGAGAAACCCTATGAATGTACTCAATGTGGGAAAACCTTTGCACATAACAGGCATCTCCGAATGCATAAAAGAACACATTCTGGAGAGAAAACCTGCAAATGTAATCAGTGTGGTAAAGCCTTTGCACATAAGAGTTATCTCCGAATGCATAAAAGAACACATTCTGGAGAGAAACCTTATGAATGCACTGAATGTGGTAAAACCTTTGCATATCATAGTTATCTCCGAATACATGAAAGAACACATACTGGAGAGAAACCCTACGAATGTGCTGAATGTGGTAAAGCCTTTGCACGGCACACTAGTCTCCAAATACATAAAAAAACACATACTGGAGAGAAACCATATGCATGTAATCAATGTGATAAAGCCTTTGCACATCACAATTACCTCCGAATACATAAAAGAACACATACTGGAGAGAAACCCTATGAATGTGCTCAATGTAGTAAAACCTTTGCACATCACAGTAGCCTTCAAATACATAAAAGAACACATACTGGAGGAGACTCTATGAATGCAAGCAATGTAGTGAAGCCTTTGCATGTAACAGTACTCTTTCAAGTCATGGGAAATAATCATGTTGGAGAGAATCCCTAAACATGCAGTCAGTGTGCAAAGGCTTTGCACTTTGTGGTCTTCTTCATTCAAGAGGAAAACCTTTTAAAGTCTTTGCACATCACAGTTGTCTTTGGGAACCTGAAAAAACTCACATCAAAGGATTTGGTAAAATCTTTAGCCAGCATTCTTATGTTCAGTTATACAAGATTATTTATTCTGGAGAAAAAAAAAAGTCTGACAGTTGTCGAAAGTCTGTTCAAGCTTATGATGTCCCTCTTTATTTTGTTTGTACCTGTAAACTCATATGGACAAAAGCCTTATGAATTTAAATTATAAGGTAACCCTTTTAGATTTTACACTTCGGTTCAATAACATGAAATAGCTCATGTAGGTGTAAAACTTAATGGGTATGATTGTTCTGTGCCCTCCAAGTCTTCCATTTTTCCTTGTTTGGGCAACTACATGTAGCTTTCAGTGACAGCATCCTGAAGGCTCCCACTTTGTGGTCACCACACCAGCCTTAGCTCCTCAGTCCCCCTCCTGCCATCCCTGTAACTTGCCTGCCTGGTAGGAATAAGGGTATTCTAAAGATAGAAACATCTTTTCTGTCTCCCCTGTTGGCTAGCAGCTAGTGAAACAGTGCACCCCTTGAGATCCCCAGGAGTCTCACTCTGGGCAAAGACTGAGTCCTCCAGAAGAAAACTCTGCTGAAGACACATTTACCCCTTATCTGAATACCTTGCATTAGAGGAAGCTGAGAATTGGGAGGGATTTAGGGATGGAAAAAAATCATTATAGGGCTTTGTTAGATTTCTTAGTTGCCTTCTAACTAAGGATGAATTGATTACCTTATATCTTCATAACTGTTCCAAACTCATCATACTGAATAAATACCATGTTTCAATAATTCAGTCATTTGCATTTTTCTATTGTTTGTTTATGTGTTTATTTTAACAAATAACCATACTATGGTTCCCTGTCTGGCCCGGAACTGACTCTGTAGGCTGTCTTAGAACATCAGAGAGATCTGCCCACATTGCCTCCAGAGTGTCTGCATTACAGGTGGGCACATGCTGTGGTCCACAGGATTGATTATACAGTGAGAATACAGCTGACAAAATCACACATTCCAGTGGAGTAAACCAATTTGTAGAGCTTGGAAGATACCTGCCTTTTGAATAGTCGCTGCCATTTCTGTAAAACCCTTGTGAAGCCATAGCTCTCTTTTCTGTAGTGGGACTCATCCCCAAAAACCCCAGCAGTATGTTGATCAATTATTGGGCATAACTTCATCATGTACTGTTGTACCGGATGACTTTTCATTTTTCTGTATAATATTGATACATAGAATATAATGCTTTGTATTCTTAAAAAGGCCCCATAGAAAGGAAATTTTCACTTGGGGGTTAGCTGGAATAAAGCCACCACTTGGCCCAGAGGCTGAACATGCCAAGCTCTGTATTTTACACTAAGTAACCACAGTTTTCCCTTTGATCTAGCCACCTTAGATGTTATCTCTAGGGCTGAGAGTGAACCTTTAATCAGCTAACATTTAGGTGAAAATGTTATGCATCCCGCACAGTGAGCTGGTTACGGTGGTTACCACACTGCTGTATTCCCCGCCCCAGCCAGAATGGAAGTGCACAGCACTGCCGTGTTTTCCCCTTTTTTCTATATCTATCAGTCACAAACTTCCAGCTTAACTAACCACACAAATGTAGTTAAAACCCAGACCCCTCTCCCTCTTAGAAATCGCAGCCCCTTCCTCTGTTTACCCTTTTCAGATATGCCCAGGCACTTCACAACCATGTCCCTTCTGAGATTATAAGTAAGATAACAGACACCCACTTTGTCGCCTTATCTGTCTTCTTGGCCCCGAAAAATGCATGCCTGGTATCCTTGGTAGTGCCAGAGAATTAATTGTTTCTGTGCGGGTGTATAAACCTTGTGAGATAGAGAAGAATAAATGGGACACGATGAGAAGAGGGTGTGTGTGAGCTGACTCATTCCTTTGACCCCAGATCCCATTAGCCAACTCCCGCTGGCAAGTGCCCTGTCTGAGCCCTCCGGGGGCACATCACAACTTGATATCTCAGTTCTCTTAATTGTCTTAGTGAGGATGAGTCACTGAGCCTAGATGGTTTGGGTAGCCAGGACACAGGCTTTGGCCCTAACTCCAGTACCAGAAGAAGGCTCCCATTAAATGCACCCTTCCTACTTTAGAATCCACTGTCTTCCAACTGTGAGCAATGATTTTCTTTATCATTGAATCTGTTATAACTCATTCAGGGACTGGGGCAGATTTTGAAATCCAGGCTTACAGATATAAGAGCTTTCTGAATACAGTTAAGTGTAACTGCTCATTTCACTCATCCTGTTACCCTAATGACTCAGTAAATGAAGTTGAAGCCACCTAAGCCAGGCATGGTGGCACAGGCCTGTAACCATGGTACTTAGAAAGTGGAGACAGGAATTTCAGGATGTCAAGTCATTTAAGTTGAAAATGGTGGGAGGCCCAAGAACTAAGGGAGACAATGATTAGTTCTAGCCAGTGTCCATAGTCTTTACTGCAGCTCCAGAACTTCAGGGCCATGGCACCAGCAAGCATACACTGAGGTATTTACACCCCAGGTTTTCTAATTATAATGTTTCCTGTCCAAGGCAGCCCAGTTCACTTCAGGGTCAGACTCCTGTTGCTCCTTAAACAGTGGAATTTTTCTCCAAGGGGAGGAATTAGACTCAGGCAGGGATGAGCTCCCCAATTGCAGATCCAATGCAATGTATTCAGCCCTGAACCATATACATACAACCAACAGAAATAGACTCAGCAAGTTTTATTCATGTATTTTTACATGGAGAGAAGACAAGGGGGAAAGTGATATAATATATTTTAATTAAAGTGTATAAAATATTTTTTAATAAAAAAGTAGCTAGAGAGACAGCTTAGCAGTTAAGAGCCCTGGGAGTTGTGGAGGACACAGGTTCCAGTCCCAGAAACAACCTGGTTGCTAAAGATGGTTACTCCAGTCCAAAGGTATCTGGTGCCCTCTTCTGGCATGTGTAGGTACTGTACACAGACACTTGTAGGCAAACACATGTATACAAACCACAAAAATAAAGCTTAGAAACAGAATTCTCTACAGTGATGTCACAGCCCAAGACAGCAGGCAGAACTAGTTAAAATGAACTTCTTTTCATACATGTAGCCTTTCTCTGAGCCAGCCTGCTCAGAAGCAAAGGCTGTGACTAGAGTCACTCAGCAGGACTGTTCATCTAAGAACAGCATGCACGGTGCTTACAGGTGTGTTCCTTGATGTTTTCTGTATTTGTGTTCTCTGCCCTTTGTATGTGTAAGAATTAAAGGCAATGATACATCTTTTTAAATCTGTTGATAATATCTTTTAAATGGAGATCATATTATATGATTAAAAGATTTCTTCTGTAATGGATCTGGCTATCCTCTAGACTTTCAATCTTCTGTCTTTATTTAAATTGTTCAGTGTACAACCTGGGGCCTGAATCTAAAAGAGACAAATGCAAAATTTATTCTAGTTTGGCTCCTCTTTTAGTATTAGCCAGGTGCATTCTATTGTTAAAGAGATTTTTATTAATCTTTTAAAACTGGACTAGTCAGACAGTTGTGGTGCACACCTTTAATTCCAGCCCTTGGGAGGCAGAGGCAGGCAAATCTCTGTGAATTTGAGGCCAACCTGTGATGTGTGATTCCCCTCTGTATGCTGTAAATATGTTTTATTACCATTGGTTAATGATACTTAAAGCTACTTTGGGCCTGTGGCAGGGTAGGATAGAGCTAGGCGGGAAAATGAAACTGGGAGAAAGAATATGGAGTCAGAGAGTCACCATGTAGCTGCCGACAGAGACAGACAGCCTGGAACCTTACCAGTAAACCATGACCCTCCTAGTAAAATACAAAATAATAGAAATTGGTTAATTCAAGATGTAAGAGCTAGCTAGGAATAAGCTAGAATCATTGGCCAAACAGTGTTGAAATTAATATAGTTTCTGTATGATTATTTTGGATCTTGGCAGTCAGGAACAAATGAGCAGTCTCCGCCTGGTTTAAAACGTGAGTTCTAGGACAGGCTTCAAAACTACACAGAGAAACTCTTATCTAGAAAAAAAAACAAAAATCAATCAATCAACCCCCCAAACAAACAGAGTGTGGACTAATTTCTATCTGGGAAGGCATATTAATTCTAGAACAACTACACATCCAGTGTTTTAGAAAAATGTTTCTGAGACAAGTTCTCTTATGTTTACTCATGTGGCCTTGATCCCCTTCAGATACTCTCCAGGGCCATGACCTTACTGTCCTATTGATTAAATCTACTAAATTATTAATGCCCAGTACCACCACTGTGTTTTAAAATTACTCATTTGAATCATGTAGTAAACTGTCCATTGCAGTAACTGGAAAAGGATTTGCATGAGGATCATGGTATTTGTTTTCAGACTAGAATAGGAGGAATAGTTTGTTGTCTACACCACAGTGGAAAACAGGGTAGGCTATTAGTTGATGGAGTCATCATGAAAAAGGACCTGTTTGTGGCAGGAGAGTGATTTGTAATTTATCAACATGCATTTATTCATATCATGTGAATGAAGCCAGGCTAGATTGGTGGGTTTACAATTTGGGGAGGTTAGCTTGAACCAATGAATAGTGATTTTCCAATGAGGGGGCTCTCCTTTGCAGATATATACAGTCTAGGTTGGCACAGTTAAGTCAGCTCAGTGGGTTGAGTAAAAGGCCATTGGCTGGAACTATGTGTGTCAATGTACAGATCTCAACAGTTAACATTGCATATAAGGGCAAGGTCAAACATTATTTTATTATTGCCATTCCCTCTACCAGAGAATGGTGTGCTCTTTTTCAAAGTCAGTAGAACTATTGCTTTTTCAATAATATTTATCTTTTTTAAAAAGTCAATTGTTGTTCTAATCTCTTACATGTTGTTATTCTCAAATATTTTCTAGTCATTAATTTCTTTGTTTTTCTCGGGTGCTGTTGATTTTATCTGTTTAGAGCAGTTTCTCCCATAGCTCAGGCTTGTCCCACACTATGTAATTAAGAATTGATTTGAACATTTAATCTTGCCTCTGCTGCTCAGGGATGGTAATAGTTTTGCCACTCCTTGTCTGGGCCTTGACTGGTGTGTGAAAAGGAAAAATAGATCAATGAATGAGAGTCCTCTAACCTCTCTGGCTTTTATTGAGAAGTTCTAAATGCAGAGAAACCTGTGTAAGAATTGAATACACTGCTGGGCTTTAAAGCTGGTGTAGTGTGGCGCAGAAAGGGAAGGGCATGAAGAAGGATAAAAGCTTTCCTGTTTTGACAGCATTAGGTATGAATACTGAGGTAATCAAAGATTAATTGATAAGTGTCCTAACTGGCCACAGACCAGGAAATAAAAAATATGGGTAAAGAACTAAACTTATCATGAAACCAAATTACTGTAATTACTCTAGTTCAACCATACTAGAAGGTCTGGGTAAAATGTGTGGTCCTTCCTAACAGGACTTTATTTTCCAGTGAATGATGTACAGCCTTAGAGAAAAGCCTTAAGTAATATTTGGTGTGCTCTCATATAAATCCCTAGTCTCTGGAGCACATGGTCATAAAGCCTGTTTCAACTTTTTAATGTAAGTTTTGGGATTAAAATCACATCATTTCCACCGTCTCTGTTCTGGGATACTTTGATTGCACTGTGACCAACTCCTGAGACTTGCCAATAATCTTAAACCTTGAATCATATGTTGGAGCCAGCAACTAGCTGACCAGAATTAGCCATAGAGAAGCCAGAAATCTGGATAGAGAGGGGCACGGGAATGAAAGGATTAAGAATGGAGTTTCAGCTTGCTCCTCGTTCTGGGACAAGGGAAGAGATGTTTCTCTTGCATTGTCTCTGGCCAGAAAGAACTATCAGCTAGTTCCTACTCAGCCTCTCTGAGTTAGCAGGTTTTTAACTCCAGCCTTTGACTCTTGAGTCTTCTTAATAAATAGAATGATAGATACTTAATTTAAATGTACATGTGGCGGCTGCGACAGAGTCTGGACCACAAAACCAGAAGCTCGAGCAGGCTGTTGCTTGAGTGGCTGGTGGGATGCTGACTGAGGGGCCATGGGGTTGCAGACAATACAATATTAGTAGATTCATTTCCACGACAGCTAGGGCTGTTACACAGAGAAACTCTGATCTGAAAAAAAAATAAAATAAAAATCAGAACATTCTTTTGCACCCTCTAAGTTGGCAGAAAAACATTACGTAGTGCTCCAATGCATGGCAGTCACTTGGACCGAGAAATCTTGCCAGTTGGTGCCTCTGCAGTCACCCCCTGTGTCTAAGCCAAAATGCAGGACTATAGAACATGGGTCTCTGATGGTGGCGCTGTTGCTGTGGATAAACCAAGAAGTCGGCAGATTTGGTGAGACACTTGGGAAGTCCTGAAAGAGAGAGTAACTAATATTAGAAAGAAAAATTTTTCCCATGCTAAAAATTGGACATGTTACAATGCAGGGAGTTAGGACCCTGTATAATGTTTGTATGGATGGTTTGCAAATGGAAAAAAATAAATGACGGGATAAGACACTTAACTGGGGTTGACATAACGCTGATTGTAATTACTTTCAGTGTCGTAAATGAGGTGGCTTGAAAGAAAATCCCCCCAAAGGGAGTGGCACTATTAGGAGGAAGTATGTCACTGTGGTGGTGGGCCTTGGTCTCTCTTTCTCAAGCTTCCCTCAGTGTGACTATCAGCTGACCTCTTGTTGCCTGCAAGATTTAGCATTCTCAGCTCCAGCACCATGTCTACCTGCACACTGCCATGCTCCCCTTCACGATGATAATGGACTGAACTTCTGAAACTGTAAGCTAGCCACCCTCAATTAAATGTTTTCCTTATAAGTGTGGCCATAGTCGTGGAGTTTCTTCACAGCAATTGTAACCCTAACTAAGATATCAATTCATATTTTATCCTTAAAAGGTGGTTTGATAACTTCCCAAAAAATGAAAAATTGACTTAGAATGACTTACTAATGAAAAGAAAAAAATGACTGATACGATAGAACCCTTAGAATGAAATAATAAAAATTTGACTAATAAGGTAAAAGTTCTAGAAGGGCTTACTATTGATAAGATACAAGCTTTAGAAAGGCCTACTAATGAAAATAAGTACAGATACAGGCAAAGGAATTTAGAGCAAAACCTGTCATACCATTGCATTATGAAACAGAAAAGGAGCAACTTAAGGTTAATAGAAAATCCACCTTAGTTTATCCAGTTACTTTACAAGAAGGACCACTATATGATAAGCATCCTCAAGGCTATGCAGAAATTTATTGGAATCCTGTAGAAATGTTAGATTATTTGAGATTTAAGGACACAGTCATTTCATATGGTATGTATTTACCCTTTGTGAAGCAGATGTTGAATTCATGGAAAATTAGGAACAGAATTATTCCACACTGGAAAGATTTTGTTACAGCAATATTGGAAGTTATTCCTCAGTTACAATGTAAAACGTGGTGGAGAGAGGAAGCTGGGGTCATAGAATGACGAAGTAGGACTAGAAGTATTGAAATTTCCCTAGGCCAGTGAGAATTTTCTCGGTTAGGGCCATAATGGTAATTTGCAAAGATAGTTTACTCTTCATGATCACACCTTGGTTCTACGAAATACAGCAGCTTTGAATGCTTGGGGGCAGGATTAGCTGTAAATAGAATTTCAGATCCAGAAGTTAGACAAATCTTTGACTTTTGAAAATGCTAATTCATAATGCAAAAGTGTGATTAGGCTTTTAAACTTAAAATTAGTATCAATAGTTGAATGGATCCAAAGTACAGCTGACATTGGGTCTCACACTTACTTGAATAGGAGAAGTGTTTTCTAAAAATTTTCTATGATGGAATATCAACAGTCAGCACACCTGGTGGTGGTCATCCTTTGTAAGTAGGCACAACTGATCATAGGAAGGTGCCAATTGTTTCTTAAAATAGTGCTGAGCAACAGCAATTAAATAAAAGAAAACTGAATTGAAACTGTGTAAGATAATGTAAGAAATAAGTATTTCCTAGGTACAAAGCTTAGAGAAAACACAAGACAGTCTTTATGCAAAACATGGCATCACTACTATAACCATGCTTTTGGTTTTTAATGGGTGGATGTAGGCGATATAATAAAATAGGAAATACATAAGAAAACCAACATGAGATAGATGTGTGCAGCATCCTGAACGACACAACTAGAAGGCCCTCTTCAGAATGTGCTGCCCAGTTTACTGCAGAGACAGATTTACCCAGAATCCAATCAGCATTTTTTTACCACAGACAAGTGACCAATAGGAGCATACATAAATGTCCTAGTATCCTAATCTTTAACAGACCTGGTTAACGCACTACTTATCTTTGGGCTATTTTAGAGGCAGTCCTACCTTAGTTAAATTCTCGTTTGTGTGACTTTATGCATTGGTAAATCATTTATATCCACAATTCTACTCTTCTACATCACAACTTAGTAGTTGAGTGCTACTCAACTTGAAATGTCATCTACAACCTCCACAAAATTAACTGCGAATGGATCTTACTCATAAACGTCAAAAGCATAGTGCAGGACTTCCAGAAACTAAAAAACTTGATAAACTAGGCCTCTCTGCCTAGGCCTGGTGAGGTTTCCCTAAGGCACTGATGTATAGACCGAAAACAGAGTTCCTCTAAATCTGGGAGTATAATTTGGAGAGCTGGTAAAAGTCTGGGATTTTGCTGACCTTCCCTGTCACCTGGTACCCTGTTTCTTTAAGAGACAAACCTCCCATTCTCAACCTCCCTTCCCTTCCACCAAGGCAAGTGGATCCCCTGCCTCCTCTCCTTGTGCTTGCTCTCTTCCAGTCCCTCTTCTGAAGTAATTACTGCCTCCCCACCCCCCTTCTTACCCCTTCTCCCCTTCTGCCCCTCCTTTTCCCCTCCATAACCCATTAGATAAGCTCTCTACCCAAACTCTCAGATCCCGACAACCCAACTCTTTCCATACTTCCATAAGGGGGCTGTGCTTACCAGTCCCAAGGCCGCGCTGTACTTTATTTATAATGTTCTTGAGATCCCCTGTGCACCAGTCTTGTGCAACATTGTCTGATTAGCCTCTTCCTGAATTTATATACTTTCTTTTAAAACTGAACCATTGATATATTAACAAGAGACACGTAGAGTGATATTTTATTTGTGTTTTAATAAATAAAGGTTGCCTGAAGATCAGAGAAGCAAAGCTAGCCACACTAGTCAGTCATACAAGCCAGGGAGTGGTGGCACACACCTTTAATCCCAGCAGCCACACTTGTTAGCCATAGGGGCCAGGCGGTGGTAGTGCAAACCTTTAATCCCAGCCCCAGATGGGGTGAGACGGTAACTGGGTCTCTTTTCAATTTGAAGATTTCGGAGAGGTAAGAGCTCTCTAGTGGTTGGCTGCTTTGCTTCTCTGATCTTTCAGCTTGAACCCCAATATTCGTCTCTGGGTTTTTATTAGTTGTGCTACCGATGTACTGTTCAATTTGGCATAAATCTGCAACCAATCTGGAATAGATCCTACTTGGGCTGGAAGCCAGAGCAGGAAATTTCAGCTCGCCCGGTCCTGTCGCTCAGCCTCTCTAGCCAATCAGCATCTCCAGCGTACCTGCCAGAGGGCTTTTCTCCTGACCGGCCGTGGCTGAGCTCCGGAGTTGACGAAGGCGGAAGTTGTCACGCGTGCTGCGCCATGGATCCTGCTGCGGGGAGGTGTGTTGAGAGCACAGGCAAGCTGGGCTGTTGCACTATGGTGAGTTAGGAGTTGCCTTCCGCAGACTGGGAGATGTGACCAGTCATGACGAGTGCTGGGCTGCTGTCCCCAGACTGGGTTCAGCCGTCGGCGCTGTGCCGCGGGTGCGGGTGTGGGTGTGTTGGGTCCTTCCCTGGCTGGGTGGGATCTAGCGGGCAGAGTTGGGCGTGTTCTTGCGTGGTTCTGCCTCTCCCGTGTCCTTTCAACTCCCTGAATAACAACTCTGGGCCGCGTCTGTGCCCACCATTGGGAGCAGAAATGCTTTGAAATTTCCTCTTAATAACATTGTGAAATGCGGGCGCCTGCAGTGCTGCTGTTATATTTATGAAAGGCAGGTTTGCCAAATCCGGAGAGTCCTGATTTCTCTAGTATGTACCTGAAGTTCTGCACTTTCTCTACCCCAACTCCCCTTTTCTTTTTGAGACAGGGTTTCTCTGTGTAACAGACCTAGAAGTCCTGAAACTAGCTCTAGGCCAGGCTGGTCTTGAATTTACTAGATCCGTCTGCCTCCCAAGGATTAAAGGCCTGCGCCAACATCGCCCGGGGAAGTTCTGCACTTTTAACATTTAACAGTTAGGTTTAGGATCCATCTGGAGTTAATTTTGTGGAGTTTATAAACGGTGTCTCCTGTGTAGAGTAGCACTGCACTGCTAAACTGTGATGTAGAAGGATTTCTCAGTTCTTAGGAGACATTAAGTTATGCAAAGTAGAATTTGACTAAGTGTAGACCACCTTGCGGGTTAGCTAGGCTAGGGGTTGTAACCCGCCTGGCTGGTCAGTTATTCCAGGGTCCCTAGGTTTGTCGAAGGCTCCGTTTATTAGCGACATGGTTGCAGCTTATATAGCCCCTGGATGAGGAATTTGGGTTGGGGGGCAGGGGAATGACCCGGGCAGGAAGGGATCTTGCAGCGAGATGGTCCAAGCCGGCCATGAGGAAGTCACAAGTTGACACACCTAGTTCTCTAGATAGTTGGAATGTGGGGCGGGTTCCGCTAACAGATAGCTCTCTGTTAACAGATAATTGGGTGTAGGATAGGCTCTGCCAACTCCCCAGGGCAATAATTTTGGGGGGAAATGGTTCCTGACAACTAAGGGAGGGCCAACTCCCAAATACCTCAAAAGTAAATAGTAGTTAACCATGCCTGTTAGAGATGAGTATGATAGGATGTTAATATCTGTTCACCAGGATTAATCAGCCATTAGATTAATCCTATAACAAAGGAGACAACCCTGATTTACAACCAGCCAGCCCCCTCCCCTCAGCAAAGACCAGGCCTCTAACATGCTGCTCCAGAGCCATTACTGGGTCACAATGAACTTTAAGTCCTGCTGTGCTGTAAACAGAACAGCTGCATCTCCAGCCTTTTTGAAAAGTGGTTTTGAGTCAAGGTTTCCTGTGTTGATTGAGGTGGTCTTGAACCCTATCTGTAGCCCCGCAGGGCAGTCTCCTCGGATTTTACCTTTAAGAAAGACCTGATGGGGTAGGGTGAGTGACTTTCTCTGTAATTCCCCTGTGTGTTCTAATCCTTCAGTGTGAATGGAGACAGATAGAACTTTTGGCTATTCAATTTATGGAGAATAGCTTGAACTTCCGAGTGTTCACTTTCCAGTTAGTGAGCTCTTTTATACAGATATGTGCAATCCTGGTTGACATAGTGAAGTCAGCTCAGAGATGTGAGACACTGGCTTTAAACCCGTGTCTCTTACAGCACTCAGCAGCTAACATTTTGAGTGAGACAAAGTCAAAGTCTGTTACTAATGGCCCTCTCTCTATAAAGGAAGTGCCTGCTATTTCAAAGTCAGTATAGCCTAGTGTTATTCCAACTAGTTTTATAATTCTAAAAATTCAATTACTGATGTCATTTTTATTTAAAATTTTTCATTTATTTTATATACCACAGTTTCTCCTCCCTCCTCTCCTCCCATATCCTCCTTTCATCTCTTTTCCAACCCCCCCCCCCCATCTACTCTTCAGAAAGGGTTGTTGACTCCCATGTCAACAAAGTCTGGCATATCAAACTGAGGCAGGACCATGCTCCTCTGCCCTGCATCAAGGCTAAGCAAGGCGTCCCACCATAGGGTTCCACGGCTCATGGGCTGGGGTCAGATGCTGGGTGGCATTTATCACGGCCTGGTTCCTGACTGTGGATACAGCGGAATCAATCAGTGTTAGCTACTTTCTATAAACATTCTTTTTATTTAAAAATTTTCCTTTTGAGTGTCCACATGTTCATCTCATGATACTCAGTAAAGTTGAATGACAAGTCACCCAAGTCAGGCATGCTGTCACACCCCTGTGATCACAGAACTTAGGAGGCAGAGGCAGGAGTTTAAGAGTCTCAGTGTCATCTAAGGCCTGAGTGTACAATGGGGTACAGAGACACCTGCAGGAACAGGAAGGACTATGCTGGGCTCAAGCAAATGTCACTCATTGTCTTCCACAGACTCCAGAGCAATCCTGTGAGTCTCTGTAAAATCCCACACCTTAGGCTCAAGATGCCTTCTTCCCTGTGATAGAAACCACAGTCTAAGCAGTGGGAGATGAGTCCCAGTTGCCTTTACTTTCAAGCTCACAACATTTCTACAGTGGCAGAGTCTTAGGATGTGCTGGTAGGGGATGGGGAGGAGGATTGACAGCCACCAACTGAATGGGGCTAATAACCTTCTGCCTCTTCCCTGCCCACATCTCAGTGTCCTTGTCACCTGACTGAGGGCAAGCCAAGTTGGTTTGAGGCACAAACAGTAATTCTATGACTGGGAACAAGTTATCAGGTTCTGCCCAGTGAATTATCTCCAGGGGGCCATGACTCAGGTCCTCTCCTGTCTCCTGGCATTTCCCATCTCCTTCTGATCTCCTGTCTATTGGGTTTCCTCTCCCTACCCCCTCATGCATTTCCTCAAATTCAGCAAATTATCAACTTAATAGTAGAATCAACATACAATAGGCTGAAGGACTAGAGACTACCGTTGTTTGCTATCTGTCTAGAATCCAGACTGGTGTGGAATTTGCTGGGATTCTTCAGCTTGAGTATCTTGCCTGTCAATCCCGGATTGAAGGGCTCTTGGAGAGTTGTTGACCTGGTAACAGATTTGAAACACCTGCGGAGAGGCCCTGCGCTTATATGATGGGCTCCTGCAAGGGTGGTAGATTTTAGGACCCTTGGGTTGCTGCTGGTGTGGGGCTGGGATGGTAGGAGAGCTGTGTGTGCTGGCGATGGCAGCCCTGAAACAGAGCTTTCTAAGTCTCCGAGAGCCCCGAATAGCATTAAAGTTCTCAGAATTTACAGTGTGATACAGGAAGCTGTTAGGTTTTGCTTTCCTTAAATGTGATTATTTGCTGTACTTCTTGTCTTCCCTTTTTTGAAAACAGTGGATGTCTTTCATATATATATATATATATATATATACACACACACACACATACACACACACAGTTTAGGTGACTGTAGACTTTTTAAATGTTAGAATTTTTAAAGACTAGAATTTAAGAAGTTGAAAGTGCTTTCTGATATAATTAACATGTGTTGATTTCCTTTTTAATTGTTCCTGTTTTTTTTTTTTTTTTTAAGCTACGGCTATCCTAGTTAGCAACTTCAACTCTGCCCCTACCAGCAGCAGTTTAGACTGCTAGAGCTGCAGCCTGAGGGACTTCAAAGGCTGAGGCAGAATTCTGCTCCTCAGAGATACTGAATAGCAAGCAAGCAACTCACCTCCTCACTACTCCCAAGAAGTTCTCACACTTCTTCTTGCCCCTCCTTAAAATCCCTTCTCCACCTGGCTCCTCCCTACAACTTCCTGCCAGGTGGTTGCTTATGCAGCCTCCTGACCACAAGTAAATTTCATTCGATCAAACACATCTTTACATCATTAAACAGATGTTCCAGAGCATAAACAAAAGTGACACCTTAAAATAATATTCTACAGCAAACATGAGACCATGTGGAATGTGGGTGGAAAGGTCTGATTTGAAAGAGATGCTTTGGATTGTGTTTTAAGTCACAAGTTGTAGAATTTGCTGGCTAATTTTAACTGTCAGCTCAACACACCATAAAATTACTTGAAAAATGTTTGAATGAGGTATCGTGGAGACTAAGTTGGCGTATGGGCAGATCTGTGGTGGATTATCTGGATTATACAGAATAATAAGCCCACTCTGCATGCCACCATACCACAGGCTGAGCCCTGGGTTGTCTAAGAGAGAAGAAAGCAAGTATGTGTTTATTCTCCTTTTATTCTTGGCTGTGGATGTGATGTGATTAGGCTCTCAATTTTCTGCATTTATACCATGCAAATGATGGACTGTAACTTAAAATTGTGAATCAAAAGAACGCTTTTCCCCCAAAGTTACTTTGGGTCAGTTTATCAGCTTAACAGAAATGAGGCTAGACAAATGCCCTGTGTTGTGTGATATTATTTGTATCCCGACAAAGCTTCCCTGGAGGTCAGAGGGTGAACCTAACCACTAGTTAACCATAGAGGCCAGGCAGTGGTGGCTCACATCTTTGATCCCAACACTTGGGATCTCATGCCTTTAATCCCAGCACTAGGGAGGTGGAGAGAGACAAGATCTCCCCATTTCCCTCTGAGATTTCACAGAGGGAAGAAGTGACTGTGGCTGTTGCTCTGCTTCTCTGATCTTTTGGTGTTCACACTTGATATCTGACTCCGGTTTTCATTGTTAAAAGTGGAGAGAACGTGGATATCAATTCATAGACATGTGCAATCCTCCTACTGAAGTACACTTTTAATAGTGATCCCTGACATGAAGTTTGAGTCTCTTCTGTGTGACTAACATATAATTTCCTTAGTGCTCTCTAGCACTTTTTAGTTATGCTGCGTGTGATTGTACTAGCTTGTTGAGCTGACTGGTTTGACCAGACAGACAGAAAGTCAGCCACCAAAAGATGAGAAAGCATATAAAGTTGTAGACATAATAGTTTTTGGTAAAGACGATAGACTACAACTGGGTAAGAACTTTAGATAAATGGGATTGTCAACAT